GTTATGCGTGGTTATAACGGGAAGCATGAGCACACTGTACCACTGTTGGGAAATTCTTCTAAAAAGCGCAAAATAACTACGTTACTCAAGCCGAATTCATTCACTCGCCGGAGGCCAAACCCAAAAAAACAAAGAAAGCTATAAAAGCAAGTGTAAATGACTGTGCGAAAATTTAGTAAGAAATATAAACACAGTGACAATGATTATGTAATGAGAGAATAACAATGGAAGTCGGTGTTGGTAAATGAAGCAATGGGGTTAATATAATATAATATAAGACCTCAGTATACCAAAGTTGAATGAAAGAAAAGGGTGGTAAAAGGTTACAAAGGGTGTTTTAGGTTAAGATTAATCTTGTGAAATTATTCTTCTGGTATTCAGTAAGCACATTTGAAGTTGTTGATCAGAACCAATGAGAAAACAAAAATGCTGGATATATCAGTTCTAAAAAACACAACCAACACAATACGGCAATTTTTTGCACTTAGAACTTGATATATATATATTTTTTTTAATCAACTTCAGCCAAATGAAAGAAATACATCGTTTTAGTCGAAAACTTATATACTGACTAAATTTGTATAAACGTAGGCACAATCAATTGCGAATACAACAATTACTTATATACAGTAAATACATACCTAAATTATTTTTAAGAAATCGATTGCCAGATCTGTTGAAGAAAATAAATTCTTTATTTTAGTATATTTTATTACAAAACTGATGTTTAGGAAACGTACCTCAGTTTAAAACGGTATTGTTTCACTTTCTCTGAGTAAATCATAGGACATTTAATGAATGCACGCCATAGGGAGGTTTTTTGTAGTCAAGTTTTATTCCTAAATAAAAATATTAGAAGGCATGGCCGCTTCTATTTTTTCAATATTTTTCACCCATAAGTGGGATCGCTACTGCGATCTCCAGAACCAAAATACAGTTTAGACGTACAAAATTAGGTGAACAAAACTATGTTATTATACTCTATAGCAACATGTTGCAAGAGTATAAAAAAGAAAAAGGTTGCAGATACACTTAATTTAATTATAGACAAAAAAAAAAATATTCAAAACTGCTATTTGAATAAAAAAAATTTTTTTACATTCGTCGCGATCAGCTGGATTGGCCGATTTCAACCCGAAACACCAAATGAGAAACTATAGATTTTTAGAACCATATTGAAAAAATAATATGCGATATTTGTTTGGTACCAAAATAACAGTTTATTGGCAGAAATAGTTGTCAGGAAAATTATTTAGCCAATTTTTGCTAAACATAAGCGATATGCAGTGAACATTAGCAGTACGGTTGAAATGTCGAATCGAAATGACACAAACAGGCAATACTTTTTCATTTCTCTTTGAGAGATAATACGTTATCTAGCTACAACAGTCGCCGAGAAAATTACCCATTCAAACTTTTCATTTTGTGAGAGCCCCAGTAGTACCTTTAAGTTTACAATAATTGAGTCGTTGTGAAGTCAGTAACGCATAACAATGCACCGTCGCACTGCTAAGTAAAATATGCCCCGCGAGAAGAGTTTACGATTATGAATAATTTTGGTTACTTGTAATGCATTTTCATTTACATATAAAAGATTAGTCGTTTTTTGGAACAAACATTTTTTTTTTAGTAGTACTAAACTGTGTACAAAGCTCTTACTGAGTTGCTTTAATTTCATGCTCACTTATTCAGTCACAGTTCCTCCCTTGCCGACTAACAGTTTAGTTACAATTTATGAGCGTATGAAAATTGTCGGCAAGTTCTTTCCCCGTCCCCTGTATTGAGCATCAAATGAGCAGGGTGAGCCCCGCAATTATATTAGATTATTATTATAGACATAAACTCTTTTATTTATGTAACACATAATTGGTGTATTTACCAAAAAAATTTTGAGATGTCGATCTGAAATATTTGCTTACGTTTTTTCCCCAAAAGGCAGCTCGTTTGGCAGAACTACCGATCTCGTAGAAATCTTTTGTATTTGTGAAAGGTACTATAACTTCGGTGCAACCGAAGTAAACATTACTTCTTTTCTCATTGTGCTTATATTAAGTTTTTAGTGAATTTTAGCTTTTATAATTTATTTCTGCTGTAAAGTAGTAAATCAAAAATTTTAAATTTTCTTATTTACAAGTATGTATATACCAAAATCGCCAATTATCTATTCATACTGATCATTCATGGTGACCGCCTGTTGAAAATAAATTACTTCCAAAACAAGGTTGTGAATTTGTAACGAAAGACACCAACTTAAAAATGTCTTAATTGGATACTACAATAAAATTATGAAATTCTCCAATATACATCCAACCCATCTTAATTTATTTAAAATATTTTTAGCTGGTACCTCTAAAACTCAAGAATACTTGTAAGCTTCGATCAGAACTCATTTTATCATATTATATATCAAACGAAGCTTCTTGAAAGTAAATAGAATAAATCTACCCCGAATTTCTTAACATCAAACCCTTATGCGTTTGACAAGATCGCCTTTTCGCCAGAAACGTTAGGTTTAGACTATCAATGGCTAAAGTTTTTTAGCCTCGTCTAGTAAAATTATTGAATATATCCAAATTCCTTAGATTTTGGTTGATTTTTATTTATTACAGCATATTAAACAATTCGTTTACTTTTTATATATTAAATACATCAGAGACAGGTTCTGATACATAAATTTCCATTTATTTCGCCTTCGACAATGCACGCCGGTATTCCTCAATTTC